CAACGCATGGTTTCGCACGATCAGTTTTCAAAAAAGCGTGCGCTCGCGCTCTTGCGCATTTTCAAGGAAACCATAATTTTTTTGTCAACATTTTCAGGGCATTCTGCCAAACGGGCCTCTGGCGCCGCATGCTGACATCATTCGCACGCCCTTGCGCGCGTGCTGGGGGGGGGGGCACGATCCGTGTCAAACAAAACCATGCGGGCCACTTTCGCGCGTCGGCCGCGTGCGCATGTCGAACTTTTCTCAAAATCTTCATCACCGACGCGAGGGCGCCGTCATCGTCGTCGGCGTGATCAGCATCGGCGCCCGCACCGGCCGCGCGTTCGTCGGTGTCAGAATCGTCACCAGCACCGCTACTATGATCATCGTGTCTACTGTTGTCGACGTTGCCATCATACCGCGCCCGCCGAAGTCGCCGACTCGCGGTGCAGTGCCCGCTTTGATGTGCCCAGCGGTCAGCGCCACTGCGGCCGCGTCGGTGGCTCCAAACTAGCTGGCCGTTGCGCGCGCGTGCTAGGGCTGGCACGGCCGCAGAGATGCGCCAGCCAACGCCAAGCATTCCCCGCAATCGCCACTGCATGGGTTTCGCAAACCAAGTTGCGTGTGGGTGGGTGGGATGTGTGCAAGAGCATGGGATGTGTCAACTTGTTTGTTAAGCATGCACAATATTTTCCACCGCGTAGGTTGCACCACACATTTTGCACCACATTATGTTGCACCATCTATGTTGCAAACACCGAATGTGACAACTTGCGCATCAAGTTATTAGTATAATATAAACATGCTGCGTAACACAAGCTTCATCACATGGGTTGCATCACGCGTGTTGCGTGACGTAGGTTGTAGCACACATATGTATGTTTGTATGTATGTATGTATGTAAGTAAGTATGTATGTCTGTATGAATAGATTGTGTTGCATGGCTTGCTGCACATAGGTTGCACACTATGCGGTGCACTACATAGAGAGCGCACAACATATCGCACACTATATATGACACAACGTAAACTGTGCACACCATATACCCAAAGTGTTTATTGCATAACATATATTGCGCGCATCATTTGTGTACATTCTATATATACACACGTACTTACACATACACACGCATTCCTATAACTTTACATCCTGCATGAACCCCCTCGGATGCCCCCCCCCCTATTTTTGTTCGACGGTCCTCCCCGGCCCCAGGGCATCTTCCGAACGGATCTCCAAGCTTTCCCAACCAGCCGCCTACGCTTCCCGACGGCCCAGACGCCCGAGGACGGCTCCCAACCGGCCCCAAACGGGCCCACAAGATTCCCCAAAGCGCCGCGACAATCAAACATCAACGCTTTTCCTAAGATTATCGACATACTTTGACGTCCTCATCATTCCGGACATCCTGCATCCCACGACGGCCCAAGAGGTTTCTGAGATCCCCCCGAGATGGCCCAAGAGGCTTCCAAGACGGCCCCGAAACTGCACAACAGAGCCTCCAGACGCCCAAGTTGGCTCCAACACTGCGTGCAGCGCGCCCCACAGACGCCCAGGGGCGCGCCCAAGATAACCCCACGGAGCACCCGGGCCCAAGAGGCCCCCAAGAGAGCCCCAAAACGGCCCAAGAGGGCTCTGAGATGGCCCAAGAGAGCCCCCAAACGGCCAAGAAGGGCCAAAGAGGGTCCCACAGGGCCTTCAAGGGAGCTCAAAGAGGGCCGTAGGAGGCCCCCTGGACGGCCGAAGAGGGCCCCCAGAGGGCTCCAAGACGGCCCCAGCCCCCCAGGACGGCCCACGAGTGCCCCAGGATAGCCCAAGAGGGCCCACAGTTGGCCCAAAGAGCTCCAAAAGGACCCCCAAGAAAGCCCAAGGGGGGAGGAGCGCAAGAGGGCGTTAGAGGAGGACGCAGGAAGGTGCTGGAGGAGGAGGAGGAGGATGACTGGGAGCATGACGGTGATGACGAGGAGGACGACGACGCAGTACTTTCGTCGTCGTCGTCCTCCTCCAACTCATCCTTCTCCTTCTCCTTCCTCCTGCTCCTTTCTTTTCTCGTCATCTTCTTCGTTCGCCTTGCTTCTCGTCAGGCCTTGCTGTCGTCGTCCTCCATCCTCTTTCCTTTTTAATGACTCCTCCCTGTTGCGCCCCGGGACGTGTCGGTAGGGCGGGCCAGACGTTTCGCTTGAGACTTCCTTACGGTTTATGATCCTGAAGCTTGATGCCTGCAGCAGTTTCATGGGTGGAGAGCGGGCGGCTTTCAACCGCCACGCACATTCTTACTGAAAGTTTGCAAGGTTTTCGCGGATGGAGGGTGGTTTCTTTTCAAAGTGTGGCTCTCGCCTTAGTGCCCCGCGCATTCGTTTTGAAAGCTTGCAAGAGTTTCGCGGACGGAGGACGGTTCTTTTTAAACTTTGGTTCTCGCCTGAACGCCGCGCACATAGGTTGTACAATTTTACAGCAGTTTAACGGATGATTATAATGTTTGGCCGTCCCAGGAATGTCGTTCTGGCGCGATTTAGGGTTGGCAGGGCGCAACAGTCACGTTGATTCGCGGTGTTGAAGTTCCAGCAGTGGTGCTCTGGCGTGATTAAGGATCGTCAGGACGCAGCAAGAAAAATACTTCGCGGCGTTGAAGTCCAAGGAGCGGTGTGTTGGCACGATTGAGGAGTTTTCAGGCGGTCGTCTTCCAGCACAGAAGTGAACATATATCTAGGTAGGGACCTATGAATATGGAACGTGGAGGGAGGGTTTATTGCAGCATCGTTGACGCGTCTTGGGCTTGCACAGGTCCTCCTCCTCCTCCTCCTCCTTCTCTCCCCTCTTTTCCCTCCTCCTCCTCCTCCTCCTCCTCCTCCTTCTCTCCCCTCTTCTCCCCTCCTCCCTCTCTTCGCCCTGCTGTTGCTTCTCCTCCCCTGCACTGCGTCCGCGGCCCTCTCTTACTCCTCCCCCCGTCCCTCCGTCCCTCCTCCGCCCCCTTCCCCTCGTCCTCCTCCTCCCCCTCCTCCTACTCCTCTGCCATCCTTCTCCTCTCCTCCGCCCGCGTCCCTCCTCCCTCCTCTTTCTTCCCTGCCTTTTCTCGTTCGCCTTCCTCCCTCCTCTCCTTCATCCCCCCTGGCGTTATTTTCGCATTCTGATCCCTCCACAGCTTCCCCCCCTCCGTCTTTATCTCGGTCTCCTCCTCCTTCCTTCTCCTCCTTCTCCTCCTTCTCCTTCTCCTCCTCCTCCTCCTCCCCCTCCTCCTCCTCCTCCTCCTTCTCCTCCTCCTCCTCATCATCCATCTTCTTCTCCTCCTCCTCCCCCTCCACCTCCTCCTCCTCCTCCCCTTCTTTTCCGTCCTCCTTGTGCCTCTCTTCCCCTGCCTCCCTTCCCCTGCGCTCCCTGCCGTCCTGCGCAGCGGGGGCACGCGGAGGCGGCGCAGGCGGTCCGTGCACAAAAAGCCGCCGCCCGTCCTCCTCGCCCTTGCAAGCTGAGGCTCTCACCGCCGACCAAGCAAGCCACCCCAAGCCAAACCGAAGGCCTGAATTTGCCCTCCTTTTCTGGTGGTGGGGTGGGGGGGTTCGGGGAGCGTTTAGAAACACATCTGGAACCCTTCCCCCCCCCCCCACGCGAAATTCGGGTCTTCGGGTTGGGTCGGGGTGGTCTGGTAGGTCGTCAGGTTCTTCTCCAGCCACTGCCCCGGAGGCCCTCTCAACTTCCACAGAGGTGGCGTTGCCCTTCACCGCCTCTGCCGCCTTCCCCCGACGAGCGCACGGCCTCGCTCCTCGGCCGCACTCAAGCTTAGCAGGGCTCTACTCGACACCCCTCAGGCTGACTCGATCTTGGTCATCACGTCGGCACTGGCGTGGCCACCTCCTTAGGGGGCGACCTGCAAAATCTACCCCTACCCCCCACGATTGATGAGGGGGACGGTGGGGTTCACTTCGTTCGGGAGCCCCCGAGCGAAGTGAACCCCCCCACCCTCAGAAATCGTGGGGGGTAGGGGTAGGGTTCGCATGTGGCCCCCTACTCCTTTGACGTGAAGGCCAGTCTGGGGCCGTACTTGGGCAGGTCCTGTGGGCACCGCACGATGCGCGGCTGGAGGGCTTTGGGCCGCGCTGGGACATTCTCCCTACAGCACGATTGGGTCCATGCTCACCTTGAGTCCCACCGGCTTGTGCGGGGCTGTCGGCCACTGCTCGTCGACCCAGACGCTGACCACCCTCTTCTCCGGGTCTGCCGAGACCACGAGGTAGTCCAAGGTACGGCATGCTGCGCTTCTGCGGCACGTTCCCAGCTCCGCCGTAGGATACACTAGGACGGCCTGTGCGGCCCTCACACTCATGCTCCATTGCAGCTCTTCGGGTGGCTGCTGAAAGCTCCCGGCACCCGCGGCAACCTAGTGCGCTTCAGCTGGCCCAACACATACCTCGTGGGGTCCTCATTTTTCTCTCGGAGGCCCTCGCCGGACAAGAGGTACCCGTGGCCTCGATGAGACCCCGCCTCATGGCCACCCACGCCATTTCAGCACGTCCTCTGCTGTCTTTCGGCGAGATGGCCCATGAAGTGCAGCTCTGCACCTTGGCGATGCCGATGTGCTTGTAGACGGCGCTAGCCACTCCAGCAGAGATGCCGACATCTCGGTTCCCGTCCGTCGTCGCCATTGCTGCAGTGTGAGTGAGTCAGAACGGGAGTGAGTCTGAGTACGAGTGAATCTGAGTATGAGTGAGCCTGAGTACGAGTGAGTCTAAGTATGAGTGAGCCTGAGTGTGAGTGAGTCTGAGCGTGAGGGAGTCTGAGGGTGGTTTAGTCTGAGCGTGAGTGAGTCTGAGTGCGAGTGAGTGTAGGGGAAATCGGAGAGGAGGAGAAGGAGGAGGATGAGGAGGAGGGGGACGAGGAGGAGAAGGAAGGAGGTGAAGTGAGTCGGCGGCGTCCAAATAATGACAAGGGCCCCATCTCAGAATATGTGGGAAACCAAGATCGTCGGAGATCGTCATCGTCATCGTCCGTTATCGTCGGCGTCGCCCGGCCGGCCGACCGGGCCCCAGGACCGCATGCTCGCCGCGGCCAAGGCCAGCGACTGGGGCGCGGTGCGGGCGGAGCTCGACATCGGAGGGGCCGCCTCCTCGGGCCAGCTCGCCGCCGCTCCGCCGCGGCTGCCGCCACGGCCACCAGCGCCGCCGCCGCCGCCGTCTCTGGAGGATCGAAAAGGATATGGAGAGAATGGCGACGAAGACCGACAGCAGTTCCTGTCCATCTTGAGCAGGACTCGCTGTCGGTGTCGCCGCTGGTGTGGCCCATTTGTCACAGAAAAGTCGCCTGCCAAACAGCGGGCGCTGCTGGTTTTGGACGACATGTGCGTTTGGGCGTCGTAATCATTTTTCTATACCCCTTTCGGGCGTGCAGATCGTCGTCGTCGTCGTCGTCGTGGTAGGGGAGGGGGAGCAAGGGCCTGAGGGAAGGGGAAAGTTGGGGGCGGCCAAGAGGGGGATGATGACCAGGGTGGTGGTGGCTGGGTATCATTGCTTGGGTCACGGTGTCTCCCTGGATCTCAGGCTCCCCTCTGGGCCGCGCACGTGCCTCGGGCTGTGAATTGCGAACCCTCCTCTTGGGCGCCACCCTCGTGGACGTCCCCGAGAAAGCAGGGGTGGAAATCGAATGAAATGGACCTATGGCGAAGCGAAGTGACATTACGTAACCGCGGACCAAGCTCCAGCTCGGTTATGATTCGGCTGCAGGGTCCAGTACTTGGGCCACAACGAATTCTATCAAGATATCTCTCCCGTTTTGGTGTGGGGGAGGCTCCACAAGACTGGGCCAATGCTGGCCTAGGCTGAATGAACATTCATCAAATCCACACGAACTACATAACCACAATTTAAAGAGGAATGGCAAAACACATCGTGGGTGGGGTGGTGGTTCTACCCGCCACCTATGTGGATAGACAGACCCCGCGGCAGCTTCAAGAATGACGAATTAAATTGTGTCTCGAGCTCAAGACATTCACGTTATTCGAGCTGGATCGTGCCCGAGCAGCCAGATTCTATTCGCCGTCGTCGTCGTCGTCGTCGTCGCCGTCGCCGTCGTCGTCGTCGTCGTCGTCGTCGTCGTCGTCGTCGTCTTGTCCGCGTCGTTTGTTGGCTGGCGGCGGGGGCGGCGGCGTCGTCGTCGTTGCTGGGGGGGGGGGATCCTCTGGAATACTTTTTCAGGAGGTGGGGGGGGGGAAGGGGTGGGGTTGGGCGGGGGTCCTCTGGACCCCCCCGAACAATTATCCCGGGACGGAAAGGGGGGGTCCAGACCCTGACCCCCCCGTCAGGTTTTGTTTTTATTGGGGGTCCCCTGGTTTCTAACCCCCCTGATACATTATTTTCCAGTCAGCGACAGTGGATCGCGCTCCCTCGTATTCTTTGAGTCCCATCAGGCGCGGGAGGTCCTGCGCCTCCGCAGCTCGGGGTGCTCGGCATCGGCGCACTGTGCTGTGGATCCGAGGCGTTCGATACACCGCCCACATGCCTGGCCAGGGCCATCCTGGGTTCTACGATGGTGTACAGGCCCCTCCTGCCATGAGGTCGTACTCCGCCGTTCCGGAGCACAAACTGGCCCTAGTCAGCCATGCTTGTTGTTGTTGTTGTTGTTGTGGTGGTGGTGGTGGTGCTGCTGCTGTAGTTGTTGTGGTGGTGCTGCTGCTGCTGCTGCAGCCGCTGTTGTTGTTGCTGCTGCTGCTGCTGTTGTTGTTGTTGTTGTTGTTGTTGTTGTTGTTGTTGTTGTTGTTGTTGTTGTTGTTGTTGTTGTTGTTGTTATTGTTGTTATTGTTGTTGTTGTTGCTGTTGTTGCTGTTGTGGTTGTTGTTGCTGCTGTTGCTGTTGTTGCTACGTTTTGCGGTTCAGAAACATGTGCGTGTCAGATTTCGTCTTGTGGAAAGTTAAAGTCACACTTGCCCACTTGGATTATATTGGTATGTCTCTGAAATGCTTCGCCCTGTGTCGTTGTATTCAGTAAATCACAACGTGGTCCTCCTCATTCTCCGCTGCCTCCTCCTCTCGTCCTCATTTCCTGCGCCGCCAATCTGCCCCCACAAGACTGATAGGATCCCAGAAGGGGTGGCCATATCTCAGAACAGTAGGGCTAGTCACAACTCTCATGCGATCAAGAGTGGTTACAATCTGGATGAGATTCTACTGAAGCTGGCTCTTGGGGAATCCAGAAGAATCCAGAACAGTTTTGTAGAGAGTTCGTAAGAATTGTGAGGAATCTTGCGGGGTCCCGATGATTTCGGGAGAATATTGGACATTCGTGATAAGGTCCTGGTAAATTCAGCGGAATCGTAAGGGTTCCACTGGGCCTAAAGACTTCTTCTTAGGACCCCAGATGAATCCCACAGGCGGATCCTGAATTTCCATAGGATGATTCGGAATCTTGGGGAATCGGGAGCAGTCATGAATATGCCAACGGAATCCAGAGGATTCTTCGATAAGTATGGGCAATCTTGGAGAATCTGGAGGAAGCCTGAAGCCTCAAGGATGGGAGTTACCCTTGAGGAATCCCGAGGGGTCGAAGCGAATCCTGCGGAATCTTGAAGCTTCCACAGGAGCCTTGAAAATCCGAAGGAATCCCACGGAATTCGGAGGAATCCCGTGGAATCCAGAAGAATCTTTCAGGATCCACAGGAGTCCTCAGGACCCGAAAGGAATCCAGAGGAATTTTCATAATCCAAAAGGGGCATGAATATTCTTCATGAGGAATCTTCAGGATCCCGGAAAACCGAAAGGGTCCTAAGGAACCCCAGGGATTTGTGAAGAACCCGTTGGAATTATGAGGGTTGTTCAGGAATCTTTCCAATTTCGGAGAAATTGGGTTGAATCATCAGGAAAGCATCGGGATTGTCGAATCTTTGGCCACCAGTACAAGTCTGCGCAACATTCAAAGAGCCAAAGCCGTCCTCACGAATTCAGAAGAATCCGGAGGAACAAGAATTCGGAGTAATCCGAAGGTTTCCAGGGGAATCCTGAGACATCCTGACGGAGCCTGTAGGAACTATAGGATTCCCAAGGAATCCTGAACGATTTCAATGGAACCCAGAGGAATCCGGAATCACCCTGAGGATTCTCAAGGAATTATGAATAATTTTGAGAAGCCGAAATGAGTCCTCAAGAATCTTTTGGATCATGAGCAACCCTGAAGAATCCTGAATCGAGGTCTCCTCAGGATTATTCACAAATCGGGAGAACTCCTGAGGAGCACAACGGATTCGGAGGAATCCTGCGGAATCTCAAGGAATCGTAATTGAATCCAGAGGAGTCCAAAGGAATCCGGAGGGTGGGGAGGGAGAGAGAGAGAGAGAGAGAGCGCAGCAATCGTAATATGTGTTGACAAATCAAGAGCATTTGTTGTTTTTTTTTGTTTGAAATCTTTCGAAAATGCAAGATCATAGAAGAAGCCCTAATACATTTTGAGCAACCTGGATAAATCCTGAAGAATCTGGGAGTATTCCAAGGATTCACGGGGAGCCCAATCAAATCCGGAAGAAGCTGGAAGAATTCGAAGCGGTCGTGATTAAGTCAGAAGAATTCGGAGGAATCCTGGGAGGTCCCGAGGAATCCTGCAGGGTTAAAACGAATCCTGAGAAAGACAGAGGAACCCTGAGTTGTCTTGAGCGCCAAGAGGAATCCGATGGACTCCTGAAGAATCTAGGGGGGATCTGGATGATTCTTCCTTGAGGATGCACAACGGATTCTGAGCAATCCCAGCGAATTTGGATTAATGCGGAAACACTTTGAATAATGATGAGACAATTTGCGGAATCATATCTAGGTTATGAGGTTTTTTGTTTTAAACAGGAACAAAACAAAACCAGAGGAACCGAACGGAATCCAGAAGAAAACCGGGATAATCTGGAACATCGCACAAGAATCTGTATGAGTCGCCGGAACCATTAAGGATCTGGAAGAATTCGACGGATCCTGAGGAAACCAAAGGAATTCTGAAGATTTTGGTAAACATCTTGGGGAATCCCAGAGAAATCTTGAATACCCAAAGGAATGTTGAAGAATGTGAAAGAATTTTGAAAATTCCAGAGGGACCAAGACGAATCCCAATGAATCCACAAGGACTTCGGGGGACGCCAGAGGAAATTCTGCGAATGATTCTCTGCAAGGAAGACACGGCGCGACGGCGAATACCGTGAGATGCTCTGCGCTCCCCTGGCGGACAGGTAGTACCTGAGAGGCAGCTTTGCACACAACTCCGAAAGCATTACCCCTTCGACAGTCGGGGGGTTGAAGGCCGTAGCTCGCAAAAAACTCCCCTCCCTCCTCCTCCTCCTTCTCCGCCTCCTCCCTCCTCTCTCCCCTTATTCCTCTGTGCGCCCCTCCCCTCCAGCCCTGCTGAGGTCATAAGCGCCAGCGAGGAGGGCACGCAGCTCACGTGCCTCATGTGCGCTGTGGTGCACTGCGATGTACGACCGCCCCTCCCGCGGCCCTCCGAATGGATGGCTGGACCAGGATGTTGATGATGATCATGGTGGTGGTGGTGTTGGTGACGATGATGATGATGATGATGATGATGATGATGATGATGATGATGATGATGATGATGATGATGATGATGATGATGATGATGATGATGATGATGCTGATGCTGCTGCTTATGATGATGATGGTGACGATGCAGCTGCTGATGATGATGATATTGATGATGATGCTGATGATGATGATGAGGGCGAGGACGAGGACGAGGACGAGGTCAATGACGATGCCAATGGTTATGGTTATGATCCTGATGACGATGACGACGACGATGGCGACGATCACGACGATGATGATGCTGCTGCTGATGATGATGATGATGATGATGATGATGATGATGATGATGTTGCTGCTGATGATGATAATATAATGCTGATGCTGATGATGCTGATGATGCTGACGACGATGATAATGTTATTGTTCTTGTTGTTGTTGAGTGTTGTGACGATGATGGCGGTGACGACGACGATGGCGAATATCTCGATTTCGAGGATGCCGCTAGCAGTAATATTGACGAGACTTTTGATGATACTGATCATGATGATGGTGAAGATGATGATGACCATGATACGACGGTACCGATGATGACGACGACGATATGATGATACTGATGATGATATTGATGATAATGTAGATGATCTCAGGATGACGATGATGTTGATCACGATGATGATGCTGAAGATGATGATGATGATGATGATGATGATGATGATGATGATGATGATGATGATGATGATGATGATGATGATGATGATGATGATAAGGATGATGATGATGGCTACGATTATGATGATGCCCATGGCGTGTCGATCGCCCAAATCAGTTGTCTTGACGCGCTTCCATGCCTCCTCCTCCTCCTCTTCCTGCTTTT